GAACACTTTTTACTGCAACTGTTTGCTGAAGAGCACATCATCTTTATTGTACTGCACTATGGAATTTTAAATTAGTGAAGTAACTTGTAAATTCCCAGAAATCCCCAAGTGAGATATAATTTAGCTGTTACTAGAGTCCAAGGGACACCATTCACTTTACTCTGAATTTTTAGAGAAAAACCTCAGCAAATATCTCACATCATTTGTTTCTAGATCACCATAAAACAAAATTAATGTTAGTCTCGTTCATAGGCACTTAAACTGGCTTTATAGATTATTGGCTGACTCATACCCACTGAAGTCATCCATTTCATACCAGAGACTTTAATAGCAGCTCAGGAACACAAAGATCTGGTAAACAAAAGAAATTCTCAGATAGTACACTGTGTGCTGCAGATCTGTTAACATCTTCCTACTATTTTTATTCCTTTTCTTAGCAATAACCTAACAACATCAAAATGCACCTTTTAATTCCTTCGGCAAATCCGAAGCTAAGGGGTGAAAGATTGTTGTTGAAATTACATAAAGAACTACCTGTACTAGGAAATTCTACTTACGAGTGAAACACAGATATGTGAGTCAAGTACGGAATGACAGACTCCAAATGCACACAGGAATTTTCACTGAATGACAAATACAAGTTGTCAGAGAGAGGGATTCATGTACTAGTAAAAGTATTTCAACTATTGTCTTTGATGCAAAACCACATATAGTGTATATATAGCATATATATGTGCTGTAGGTTGATTATCCATTATCCAAAATGCTTGGGACCAGAAGTATGTCAGATTTCATAGTTTTTTAAAAAAATGTTTAATATTTGCTTAGAATACCAATTGAGCATCCCTAATCTGAAAATCCCAAATCCAAAATGCTCCGCAACCTGAAGCAAGGAATTACCATAGCAGAGATAAAGATGAAAGAGATCAAAATAGTATTTTACTTCATTTTTAGTGCTAGGCATTGAACCCAGGGCCTCACCATGCTAGGCAAACACTCCATCACTGGACTACACCCCTAAGCCCCCAAAAGAATTTCTCTTCAAATAAAGATTCCAAATCCACATGTAAGAATGTATGGATTTCTTGATCGTTTTTTTGATTCATAACCATGAGGATTGAGCACTCCTGCCATTGTGTGAGATCTGCCTCCCTCTAAACCTAGTAACAAAGTCTGCATATCACCAGCTGATGTCTTAAAGGGGAGGGGAGGGGCAAGAATGTGTGGATTTCATTGCACTAAAGGGAATACAGAAATACTACTACTAAGAATGCTTACATATATTATAATACTAATGCTTTCAAATGAGCATATGAAATTGTAATTGTGCTTGACATTTTAGATTGTAACATATGCTAAACAAAAAATGGTCAAGTGTTCTGCACCTTTGGAAAAGGAATTTTTTGTTATTTTTCCCCACGGTTGTTATGATGATGCTAATTTATTTTTTTAATAAAAAGGTAAGAAAAATTTTTTCCCATAATATTCCTTCCTCTCTCACAATGTCCAAAAACTGAGAAGTTACTCATATACTTAATTCAGTCAAGAGATATGGTACCATGCTGAAATCTTAGTGTAAGCAATATCCTTTATCATGAGTAAATGTACAACTTCATTCCTACGAAGAAAAATCCAAAGGCTAGTTGCTTCATATGAACCAGAAATCATTGTTTCTTGTTATTTTTATGGCAAGCCAACACGTCATGTAATCTCATAAGGCACTTTATAGCATTTATTTGCTCAGTATGCATAAACCATTATAATGTCTGCTTGTTATACACTCAAGAAAATCCCAAACCAAAACAGAAATAATAACCACCATCCCCTCCTTTTCCCAAAAAAATCCCCTGAAAATAAAAAATGCTTTCTCCCTTGTTAAAAGTTCACTATTAATGATTACCCTTAAGGCTCAAGGTTTAATGTTAAATTCAAAATAGTTTAAACCAAACCACAGGTTTCCTGACAAATATACCTAAGAGCAGATAATGAGAGGCAAATTCTAAATGTCACTGTACCCTTTCCTTCCATTACCTGTCAATCTGCCTCACTTTTTTGCCGTAAGTCCTAGATAACAAGAAGGGCTGGCGTGTGGCTCAATGATCAAACACGTGCTTAGCATGCACAAGACTCTGGGTTGCAACCCCCATCCCATGCCTCAAAGAAAGAAAGAAGGAAAGATAGATAGATCAATAAAGCTGTTGAGGAGATTAATGCTTTAAGATTTCTTTATAAAATCAGTTATTTTCCAAGTAAACTTTATTTTGAAGAATACCACAACACAGTTATACAAATCTAAATGTGACACATAGAACAGTATTGAGTCAAATTACATACATGTGCAGTCACAGTTCATGTCTGAGCATTCTCACACTATTAGAAGGATGTAAATAGCTGTAACAAAAGGTTGATAACTGAAATACAGCCATAATTTATGTATGTGTTTTTGTGTCCAAATACTTAAATGAGAATTGATACAAATTTGTACAAGATGAATAATCCCCCAAAAAATTTTTAACTCTTTTTGCTATACCAAAAATGGCACTAGTAATGTCTATGCAAAGCACCATAGGACAAGCTATGTTTCCACATGCCACAATGTAAGGCTTTCTGTATCCTGACCTCTCCAGGTTCAAGAAGACATCAGTGACAATAAAGTATAAGATAGAGCTGCTTTCTTTATAGAAAGATGTTATGTTCTTCCCAAGAGCTTCATGTTTTAGTGAGGAAAGTCTCAATATATAATCAGAGCAAGTAGGCTCTATATGATGTAATTGTCCATAATTCTTTAAAATAAAAACTACGGTGGTGAACAGGAATGAAAGATCTAAGACATTCACATGGACTCTCTCACTAGTTGGGATATCTGAGGCAATTCAGAGCTACTCCCTAAAATCATTCTGTAAAACCAAAGCCATTCCTGAATCACAGGGAGAAGTCCAATACTCCAGAGAAAACCAGAAAACCCTCCTCAAAGCATAAGGACCCAAAGACAAGCAACAGTTAGCAAACTGAAGAGAATTAGGCCCAAGGGATTCAAACAAACTTACCACGTTCTTAGAAAAGGCAGCAAGAATACACTGAATTTGGGAGCTAAAAACTAGTTCTACAGATTAGCTGCTGACCTTGGACATAACAATTAGTCTCTCTGAATGACAATTTTCTCATCTATAAAGTAGGCAAAGGAAGATCCACTGGCATTTTTCATAGACCTCAGAGTAATGAAAATCAAAAACAACAGTGAATCTAAGGGGCCCAAGTGAGGCTCGGTGGTACAGTGCTTGCCTAGCATGCAGGAGGCCTTTGGTTCTATCTCCAGCACCACGAGTAATAATAGCTCACTTAATATGATTTGGTAAACCATAAAGGGCTGTTCATAGTAAACAGAGACTTAGAGACTTTTTTAAGTATTAAGGATAAAAGCCAATTTTAGGGCTGGGGATTTAGCTCAGCGGCAAAGCGCCTCCCTGGCAAGCGCAAGGTCGTGAGTTCGGTTCCTGGTACCGGAGAAAAACCAAAAAAAAAAAAAAAAGCCAATTTTAGATAAATTTACAAAATCATCCCTTTTTTATAAGCAGGATAGGGACCTATTCAATAGTAGCTTCTATAGATTTGCCCCCTGTTCCCCCTCACCCTGGTGCTGAGGATTGAACCTGGGACTTTGCACTTGCCTGGCAAGCATTCCGCCACTAAGCAACACCTCTTGACTTTTTTATTTTATTTTGAGATGGGCTTTCATTAAACTTCCCAGGCTAGTTAAACTTAAGATCCTCCTGCCTTACCCTCCAGAATGGCTGGGATTACAAGTGTGCATCACCATACCTGGAGCTACTTCTTTTTTTTTTTTTTTTTTTGATGAGGGAGAAATGAGAAAATTTTGACTTTCTAATTTTGCTTATCATGTAATGTTATTACAGTATTACACACTAGTTGAGGTTTGGGGTTATTTATTTTGTTTTTGTTTGTTTTGTTGTACTAGGGATGGAACCCAAAGCCTCACACTGAGCCCTGTCCCCAACTCTATTTTATTTTGAGACACAGTCTTGCTAAGTCACTAAATTCCCCAAGATGGGCTTGAATTTGTAACCCTTCTGCCTCAGCTTTCCAACATGCCTGGATTATAGGAGTGTACTACCATGCCTGGCTACTTGTATTTTTACTCATTAAAGGACCAGGTGAGTAAACGGCTAGCCTGGAAAAGTAAACATTAAAGCCAAGTGTGTTGGTTCATAGCTATAATGCTAGCACTCGGGGAGGCTGAGACAGGTGGATTGCAAGTTGGAGCCTAGCGTGGGCAACTCAGAAACTTAACAAGACCCTATCTCAAAATTAAAAAAAAAAAAAAATTAAAAAGGGGCTGGGGATGTATGTAGGTTCTGGGTTAAATTCCCAGTACTGCCATAAAAGAAAAGACATAAGTGACTTGCCCTGTTTCTCGTAGTAGGTCATTATTTATTAGGAACAAACCTTATTTAGATTTAGTTCTAGGGGGCTGGGGATTTAGCTCAGTGGCAAAAGCTCCTGCCTTGCAAGCGCAAGGTCGTGAGTTCAGTTCCCGGTACCGGAGAAAAACCAAAAAAAAAAAAAAAAAAGTAGATTTAGTTCTAAGTAGAATACTCTATTGCACACATATCCTTAAATTGTTCCTCACCTCTGTGTTGTAGTAAAGAAGTAACTGTTACCAAAAAGTCTGCCATTTTCTTCCTGTGCTCAAGCAGAGACTCAAAAACAGTTAAAGACAAACTATTTCATTATAACATGAAAACAACAAGCCTTGGGATATTGTAAAAGGCTTTTTAAATGTCAGTACCTAACTTTGAGAGTACACAGGAAAGTAGAAATACAAGGTACTGACTTCTGCTATAACCTGGTCTTATGTTGTGGCATGTGTATTTTAAAATTACAAATGACACAATATCAGAGTAAAAATGGTCCAGAAGTCTTCCATTCAAAAACAAATTAATTGTTTCTTCCCAATAACTTACCAAAAAGAAATGGGGATTGAAACCCTAAAGGGTTCTTTAAATAATAGCCAGAAAAATAATATAAACATTTTAAAAAGCAAAAACAGAACATTTAAAAATTTTTTCTTTAAAGACGATTGCCTTCTCTTTAAAGATAGATGCTATATAAAATGTGAAGATAGCACTATAACTCATCGTGTAGATATGTAAATTCTCTGGCAGATATAAATCCATCTTTGTCTTCATCTTCTTTATCAAAAATATCCTCCACCAGAACATCATGATGACTTTCATTCACTACTGCACCATGCTTTTCGAACTCCTTCTTTAAATACATTTTAACCTATAAAATAATGGATCTTATTAATAATTTTGATTCATAAGATACTCACACTAAGCCAAGAAATATCATAGACATGGACTAGCAGTTCACTTAACTATCTGTAATAACTACTAAGCAACCACTTTATATTTCTAATGACAGTAAAAGAATTATATGAAATTATTGCCTTTAAAAACTGCTGCTACCCTGCTATACTAGAGACACAAAATATTGCCCAGTGGCAAAGATAGAGCTTATATCATACATATACTCCTTATGCCAAATACAAGGTTTTTATTATCTCAAAAACATACCATGAAAACATCCTATATGCTTTTTTTTCCCTATTTTTTGTTTTTCCAATACCAGGAATTGAACTCACGACCTTGCGCTTGCCAGGCAGGTGCTGTGCCGCTGAACTAAATCCCCAGCCCCCGATACACTTTTTATGTCTGCTTGTTTAACTGGAAAGCTTGCTTTTATTTTTGCTGATTTACATCAGGAAATCAAGATTTAACATAATAATCTATTGTTCACAACAGACTTATAAACATTTTAATTCCTTAAATTGTACATTAATGTCCTATGACTCCAAATTATATTTATTTTTCTCATTCAAGTCTGAAGAAAATGATTATTAAGTTCCACACATAGCAGTCACCTTCTATAACATTTAGTCTGAGGATCTACACTCACATCAGAATAGTTAATACCAAACTGCCCTAAAACCTGATTGTATTCCTCATTCAGGATACTTGCAGTAACTTTGTAAAATCCACACTAAGACCCAAAATTAAACCAGGGTACATCTATGTCTTATAAAAAATTTCAAAACAGAGTAAACATTAACATTAAAATTTTACTAAATTTCAACTCTATTATAGTGTCTTATTCCAGTAAGTCTTCAAAATTTGCTGAATTAATTGAAAATAATTTGATGTAGAATTTAGTATTAAAGTTTGTTTAGCAGTTCAAAATGGCTTCAGAACTAATATAACTTTTGAAATATTCTACATATTGCACTTTTCTGTGAGGCTAGGCTAATACATACCATGGCAAGACATCAAAACTACTGAATAAAATATACTTTTAAATCAATAAGTACTTCATTAATATCCCTAAAATTATCAACATCATTACCAAAATCTTCCAGGATTTTTAAGATTTTATTCCTTTAGTACAGTTTTACAATTTAACTTATAGAGGAAAAAATACCTATCATGTCATTCTTTTTGGTCCCTCACTGAGCAAGGTCATTTTTAAACAAATTATGCTACATGTTTCCTGGCTTAATAAAAAACTATAATTTCATTTTCCAAGCTAAGAAATACACTAATCAAAAGCTGATAATTTTGAAATGTCCTAATGTCTTCTTAGAAACTTTCCAAGTTTTTCTAATGAAGATATTTTAATCATTTACATATTAGAGTCAAATTAAGTAGAGAAAAATATATTTTGCTAAAATAAAAATCATTTCCCAATATGCCAGATAAAAAACAACCTTTTCATTTTCATTTGTGTTCCATGGAAGACATTACTGAAATCTGTCCAATGATTTATTTTGATGCGGTCTACTATGGAATTCTTCAAAATTTTTGTGCTTGTTGTTTGTTATTATTGTTTGCTTTTTTTGTTTAGTGTTGGGGATTGAACCTAGGGCCTCAGGCATGGTAAACATGTCCTCTACAACTGAGATACAGCCCCGAGTCCCAGAATGTCTTAAGAGGGGTTATAGCTAGAGTTCTGGCTTCCGTTTGGACTCTCCTGGCTTTTACTGTTTAGAAGTACTTTTTGGTTGCAATATCTTACTAAGAACAAGTGCCCAGCTACCATCTATTATAACTTAGATGTGGGGTGTCCTCCAAAGGCCTCATGAGTTCAGAGGAGGGGCTTCAGGAAGGTGAATGGATCATGGCGGCAGCTGTACTCATCAGTGGATCCATCCGCTCATGAGTTCAGAGCTAAATGTGCTGTCAGGCTGTGGGGCCTGGTTGGAGCTGGGTCACTGGAGGTGTGACCTGGAAGGATATATCTCCCCCAACCCTCACCTCCACCTCCTCCTTCCTCTCTCTGCTTCCTCGCCTCCTTTGTGTGAGCACCCTTCTTCCTCCAGACCCTTCCACCATGCTGTTTCTGCCTTCGAGCCAGGTGACCATGTGAGAACTCAGACCTCTGAAACTGGGATCCAAAATAAATCTGTCCTCCTTTAAGTTTCAGCTCGCAGGTGTTACAGGTCACCAATAAGGAAGTGACTAAGACACCATCTCTTTTCTTTCATTAAGTTCTTCCACTGTTCACACAACTCCTAGCAGCTAAATGTTAGAAGCAGCCATTTATCCACAAATAAGTGGATAAACAAACTGCTATATATATACAACGGGATACTACTCTGCCATAAAGGAGGATAAATTTGAGTCACTTTTAGGAAAATGAATGCACCTTAAGTGCAGTAACTCAGACACAGAATTTTAAATACTGCATGGCTTCTGTCTCTCTTTTTTTTGTTGTTTTGGTGCCAGGAATTGAACTCAGGACCTCGCACTTGCCAGGCAGGCATTTGTGCCATGGAGCTAGATCCCCAGCCTCTGAAATACTGCATGTCTTCTCTTATATGAAAGTATAAGAGAATACTTATATCAAAGTATAAATAATTTAAAGAGCAAAATATAAGATACACAATAGGAAACTGAGTGATAAATCTTTTGCAAATGGGGTAGAAGAAGGGGTAAGGGAAATAGGAAATAAAAAGAAATTAAGATTTGTTATATACAAGTATCAACTACCCACAATGAATGTAATCATTATGTAATGCAAACATATACTCATAAATTAAAAAAATTCTTCCACTGCTCATATGGTTTTAAAATCACCCTGATTATTTCTCAAGTAATAAGAAACTCAGTAAATCGCTATCTGGAATCTTCCTACTGTACAACACAGGCTATATGTAGACAAGCAAAAGCTACAGTGGGCCAGGATTCATTCTATAGGTGTCACTCAGTGTCCTCCATGCAACGGGAGGCAGTATGTCTCTTTGGCCTGTGTCTTGCAAGTTCTGGAACAAAGTCCTATTAGGATGATATACTACTAAGAACAGTCCATAGGTCTAAAGGATGGAATTCTTAAAGGATTTAACCAATAAGAAAATTCCTTTGAAAGGACATATGAAAATCTGATTTTTTAAATTTGTTTGTAGTACCATGTATGGAAGCCATGGCCTTCACACTGAGCTACTTCCCCAGGCCACTTTTATTTTTTATTTTGCAACAAGGTCTTGCTAAGTGGCTAAATTGTCCAGGCTGGACTTGAAATTATAATCCTCCAGCCTTAGCCTCTGATAGTGCTGTGATTATAGGCATGCATTACCATATCTGGTGAAAAATCTAACTTTTAATACAGAAGTAGGGCCAGGGATATGGCTCAGCAGCCCAAGTGTCTGCCTGGTAAGTACGAGGTCCTGAGTTAGATTCCCGGTACCAAAAAAAAAAAAAAGAAATCAATCTTGTGTGTGAGACTTACAATTTCCTCAGTTACAAGTGTGCACCACACACCCAACCTGAATGATGCTTTTTAAGCACCAATATATTTCTCTCTGAAATAATGCTTCCTATGAAAAAGTCAACTTTTACAGCATTAGTGTCTTAGTTACTTTCTCTTTGCTGAGACAAAATGCCCAACATCCACAAGTTAAGGTTTACTTAGCTCACAGTTTGTAGAGGATTCAGTCCATCATTGCCTGGCTCCAAGGCAAGATGACATGGCAGACAGGCATCACAAAGGAGAAACAATTCATGGCGGGGCAGAAGGTAGCAAAGCAACAAGGGATGCCTACACCTCTTTCCATATCTTGTATCTTATCCAGGCTACTCAGCATGGGTAGCACTCAGACCCTTAATTCTAGGGCTCTTGATCCTATCACTGCACTATGAATCAATTATAGCATCACACACTCTAGATCCAGCCACCTCTGAAAAAGCCCTACCTATGATTACATGAGGTTTTAGGGGAACATCTAAACAGAAACCATAACAATTAGTATTTCAAGAAAATTTATATACAACATTTTCCTCAAATAAATTTTCATGAACTATATTTCTGAAACAGTGAATTAACAAAGAATAAAAATACATAGGCAGAAGGAAAGGTCACCTCATGTTTAGAGAGTTTCCAGTCATCATTGAGATCCATTTCTTGGAATGACTCATGGGATCTTGGTCCATTTCGAATTTCCAAGAGGTCAATGTTGAATATCAATGTGCTCTCTGGGGGGATTTTACCTGACATTAGGAGAGAGGTAGCATATTTTTATTTAAAAGTTGTCTGTTGTTTTGTTTTTGTTTTGTAGTTCTAGAGATTGAACACATGATTTCAGGTATGCTAGGCACATACTCAACCACTGAGCTACGTCTCCAGCCCCTAAAAGTTTTAATACAAAATCATGGTCCTGGTAAAAAGGCTTTTAACTGAATTAAAGAAAGAGCCTTTCTAAGAATGTCATATGATAAAAATTATTTACATATTATAATTATATTTTACTCAAATAGATTGAAGAAGGAATAACCCAAAACAATAAAGCAAAAGCCTTCTGTGTTTAGCTTAGTAATTAAACACACACACACACACACACACATACACACACACACACAGAGATATATCCAATAGCCTGGATGTTAAATTTCAAATATAATTAAGATATTACATATTATATGTTAAGAATGATTAAAGAGCTTTAGCTAACTCAGAGTTAATTTTATCAAGTAATTTACTAACTTTGGGGTCAGAAAGTCCTGACCTTCAAGTACATACTTTGGTGCTGGCGCTGTTATTTCTACCACTGGGCGGCAGCACGTAATTGAGTGATTTCTGGGGTCAGTTGGAATTGAAACTTAAGTCTGCCCATCTCTAAGCTTCAGTTTCCTCATCTGTTAGACACAGATGATAATATCTTGTACCTTAAGAGCCCACTAGGGGACAAAAGAAGAAAATCCATGAAAAATAAAGTACTCAGCATTACGGTTAATAAATCTCAAGCTCTCAAGAACATATGTTACTGAGATTATTTTCTTATAGGCTTTAAAAATAATACAGGAAAGTTCAAATATTTCAAAAAGTTAATCAACATCCTCTCTGATGTACAACACAATATATGTTTCAGGCATTTCATGGGAAGGGAGAAATTAAAATGAACTTTTGAAAAGGGAGATAAATCTTTAAATGTGAAAAGAGCTTTGTTAAGAGTTCTAGAATAGTGGAAAATGACAACTAACCGACCAAAAAATCTTTCTAGGAAGTATACAAAAATTTTTTTCAAGATTGTTTCCTTATAACTATATTTAACATAAAAGTCTAAGTAAACTTGTTAAATGTTTCTGAGTCCTCCTCCTCATCCCCTCCATATTTCTGTGAAAGAGCATTTGTAAGTTTAAAAGAGCAACACTTACATTGTGAGCCAAAGCTTACCGTTCCAGACGGTGACAGAGAAGAGACATGCACTAGATGGGTGAGAAAACTGGTACCTTTCCAAGAAGGGCATGCAAGCATGTACTAAAAGACTACAAAATCAGAGTTAAATATATATTAGGAAAATTAGTTTCATGGCACTCATTTTGAAGGAGATGACTACATTATGAAGTAAATTTGAGTTAAATATAGTATGGAGATAGAGTAATAGACTAATACTACATATATAAATATTAAAGGTGAGGCAATGAGGATATAGGAAAGCAAAACACTTTTAAGCCTAGATATTTCCTATACCCTGGATTGTCTTCTCTAAAGAAGATTATTAGAATTAAAATAAGAATTGAACTTAGTTCAACTAAATTGTACTAACAATTAAATCTTAGCCAATTTATAAGATTTACATAGCTAGTTCCATTTTCTTTTTGAAAGGGTCAAAACAAGGGTCTCACTATGTAGTTCATGCTGGCCTTTAATTCACTATGTAGTCTATACTAGCCTCGAACTCACAGGGATCCTTCTGCCTCAGCCTCCTGAGTGCTGGGATTACAGGTGTGTGTCACTATGCCTGACTTTAGTTCCATTTTAGAGTATGTCAAGCTTCACATACAGCACCTTGTTTCCTTCATTGGAAACTGGGTCTAGGAATCCTCACCCATACTTCCTTCTGTACGCTAGGAATGAATCTTGGTGAGGTTGACCTCTGGATGCTGAAAGTTTTTATTGTTATTTGTTTGTGTGTTTGTTTGTTTTTTTACATCAGAGTAGTTCTCTGTCTGGTTCTGATGACTTTTTAAAATATTTTTCATCATTACAAATAATATGCTCACTGAACCAAATGTGGAAGATAGAACCAGAAATAAATATAATTCCCAGTACCATAGTCCATTGTTAACATTTTTATTTATTTCTTTGTGATTCACTTCCTATGTGTATAGTATATACTTTTCTTTTTTTTCTTCTTTTTTGGTTTTTTCCGGTACCAGGAATTGAACTCAGAACCTTGCACTTGCCAGGCAGGCACTGTGCCACTGAGCTAAATCCCCAGCCCCAGTATATACTTTTCTTTACACTTATAATCATAGTATAAGTATATACTGTACCTTTATTTTCTACTTTTATATTGTACACATTTTTAGATACAATTTTTTTTAAAAAATCTTTGAAAATGTCTTTTCAAAAGGTTATACTGTATTTAGCTAAGCTCTTATCATTGTACACCTAGCCTAGTTCCAAATTTTTACTGTCAGAAACAATGCAGTGATGGATATCCTTGTTCACAAATCTTTCTTTTAATGCATGATTATTCCCTGAGCTTAGATTTCAATAAGAGAATTATAAAATGAATGCACACAAACATCTTCAGTTCTCTTGATACAAATCACCAAATAGTCCCTTGGAAGGTCACAAGGGTTCCCACTTAAATGGCAGGTGCTTTCTGGCTTGCCTCTGCTTTCTGACATATGGAGAACTAATTCACTTCAAGTAACTCTATTATTTTTAAATAAATTATTTAAAACTTCATAAATTTTAACGTGAGAATTAAAAGAAACCCTAATAAGTGCTACACTGGGGAGATGCCATGGTTGCAAGCCACATGCAACCCATATGTAAAACTGCCTTCAGGGCTTTAATAATCTGTATTTCAAATACTCAACTCCTCAAGACACTTACGTTGAGTAGTCTTTCTTTTTGCATTAGTAAAACAAATTGGTGAGTTTCAGTTTGAGAGGATGAAAAAGTTAGTGCCACTGAACTAACTGCATACTTAAAAATGTTTCAAACGGTAAACATCATGTCATGTGTATTTTACCACAACTTTTAAAAAACCACCACACTGTTGAACAGTGTTAATGGAGTTCAAGGTTCCAGAACTTTTATTTCATTGTTAGTTCAATGATCTTATAGCCTTAACTGGTTATTTCAATTAGTATCAAGACATAATCATATTTCCTAAAGGAATACAAGCCTTTTATTCACTTCTAGGGTAAAAAACGCATAGTAGTTACTCTAACTTCTGTCTCCTAATCCAGAAAATTTCGCTTCTCCCAGTAAGAAGTGTAGAAGTGTTGTTACCTTTTCCTTCTTTCCCATAGCCCAGGGAAGGAGGAATGGTGAGCTTTCTCTTCTCTCCTACACACATTCCTTTCAAGCCGCGGTCCCAGCCTTTGAGTGCCTCCAGGATGCCCAGAGTAAACCAAATTGGCTGACCATTGTTATGTTTGTGACTGTAATAGAAAAAAAAATACATTAGAACTTTTGTTTTTGAGGTGCTGGGGATTGAACCCAGGGCCTTGTGCAGGCCAGGCAAGCATTCTACACATTAGAACTCTTTAGTAACTTGCTTTTAAAATTGCTGTGTTGCACTTTTTCCACCCATGTTATTAAATTTATTAGGTTGGAAATTAATGAAAACAGCTATTCTTTCATTGCACACTCTCAGCCACAAGTCAACTTTGTATCAATTCAACCGCTGTCCTTTATTCTTGAGGCAAATTTCATACAATAGACTGGGCTTCAGAAAGGTAGAGAGAATAAGAAAAATAATTCAGAAGGAAAACTTACTGTGTACCATGTTTTGTCCTAAATTTATCTCTTTTAATTCTAACAACGGTCCTCTGATCAGTAGATACTCTCTTTGCCCTTAACCTCTCCGCCCATAACAAAAAGCGTGCAAGTCTGTAGCATTTGCATGTTATCTACTTTATACTTTAAATCATCTCTAGATTACTCATAAGACCTAATACAGTGTAAATGCAACATAAATAGTTGTTCAACTATATTGCTCAGGGAATAATGACATGGAAAAAAATCTGTTTATGTCCAATATAGACATAATGTTTTTCAAATATTTTTGATCTATAGTTGGTTCTATCTGAAGATACACAGATCCAAATGTACCATTATTGCCCCCTTGTGTAGATGAAGAAATAATTACATCTGCCACTTTTTGACCTTCAGTATACCTAACTCCAAAATTCAAGGTCTCCACCACAAAGTTATACTAACTCAGGAAGAAAATAATGGAGAATGGCTGAGTTTGGTAAGGCAGATGACAGAGTAAGGAGAATCCACTGCCAAGACATGTGGGTCCATACGGCCATGGACACAGACAGACAGGAGTACAGCATCTTATATCTGCCTGCAAAGCTTCTTGATGGATAGCCTATTGATGGGTCAAAACGGCTGCTACTTACACCCAGGCCCAAGTTTCTCTCCAAAGATCTACTGGGGCTATATAAGAAGCTTGGAGAAGGGGTCCCTCAATCTCTAGAGAGGAAAGGCGTAGTCAGATTGTCCTGGCACTTGAGATAAGGAGAAGCCAGAGTAAGAAAATCAATCTGACAAGCTGTGGGGAGAGGGAGATGTTTGAGGGCTGAGTAGTGTCTGAGTCTCAATTAGCTTCCTTTTGGTGCAGTAAGGAAAGTGTTCTTTTCCAGGATATCTCATAGGTAAGAATAAGAGGTCATTGTACTAAGTTCACCGGTACCATGGTTAAGAAATCTGAGTAAATGCCATTTCTTCTTCTTTTCTTTCATTTTACCCCTGTGACCCAGGAAATAATATACCAACCTCCAAAAATTTGGGAAGTTTAGAAAATCATAAAGGAAGAAACTATTTATTGCTCAGTTTGGCACATTTCGTGTGTGTGTGTGTGTGTGTGTGTGTGTGTGTGTGTGTAAAATGAACACAGAGCCTTATACATGCTAGGCAAGCACTCTACCACTGAGCTATATCCCCAGTCTTTTTAATTTTATTTTGAGACAGGTCTGTCTAAGTTGCTCAGGCTGGCCTCAAATTTGCAATCCTCCTGCCTCAGCCTTCCAAGTATCTGAGATTATAGGTGTGCACCATTACACAGTACCCAGTTTTGGTGCATTTATTAGGGCTAAGCACCACACAAATCATTATAGCTTTGGAAACAGTAAATATGCTTTATTTAATTTTTATTTTGTTTTTTTTTTTAAATAGGGACTTGTCACGTGTTCAGGCTAGCCTTGAACGTATAGTGATCCTCCTACCTCAGCTTCCCAAATGCTGGGATTTCAGGCATGTATCATCATGACAAGCTAGTAAACATGCTTCATAGATTTATCATTTGATGCTACTTTTTCACAATATTTATAGCTAGCAGACTCTGACCATTTACAAGGAGGCTGCATGACAACAGTCCCTTTATCGTATACTAGAACATTAATAATACACTGCTAAACAATATCTCCTGGCTAACACCAAAGTCAGCACAGGGTTATGGTCTTGAGACCTAGAAGAAATTAGCCTAAAAGAGATTAGACTAAAAGTAAAATGTAATTGAAAATAAATTTTGTTTTTGTTTTTTGAGATAGGGTCTTTCTTTGTAGCCAAGGCTGGCCTCGAAACTGTGACAATCTTTATCCCTCAGCCCCTTGAGTGCTGGAATTATAGGCGTATGCCACCACGCCCGGCTTGGAACTGAAAATTTAAAATGTAATCTCACTATATATTTAGTGTCCACTGTGGACAAGAAAAAAGGGTTGTTGAGAATTCTAGGTCAAGCCATCTCTTTCAAACTTTTTACCAGGGTTAACAGGGTTCAGAGAGGAGTGCCACTCACTTCTAAATCCTACAAAAGGCCAGAGCTGAATGGATCTAGGATGGGGTATAAAGATTCATGGCTGTAGTTCATGTCATTCCAGCTACCTGAAGTGTCCCCCATCCATCTTTCAAGGCCTATCTCAATTATGGTCTCCAGGAAGTTTTTCTTTCCCCACCTCCCAGAGAATAATTAATTCCAGGTTCTCCCATGCTAAACATCATTTTCTTATCTCCCTCTCTCCTGAGGATAGTATACTGCTAGAGAGCAAGAAACTGAGTCTGGGGATCTTTGCAACTCCAGGACCTGACTTTAGGGCCATTCAAGATGAGTATGATAGATAGATAGATCATCATTAATGAATGACTGATTAGAAACCAACATAAAATAGGATGATAGAAGCCAAAATTTCTTGGTCTTCTTCATTGCCAGCAAAAGGCCTAAAACAGAAGAAGCGTTCACTAAATACTTTAGGGTGGAATGAATGGAAGCAATACCTAACTGGAAATCATTCCATTTGTAAATCTTTTCTACCTTACAATTTCTTTGTTTAAAGAACAGAAAATATGGTGTAATCACCTGAAAATCTTTTGTGTAAGACTTCTTCATGAAGTCTTTTGTAATACCCACCCTCATGGATAAAGTCTGACTTTCTAGAAAGGAGCAAATGACCACTGAAATCACGGTTTTAGCCCTTGACAAAAAAGGTCATGTCAGAACAAAAGTTAAATAGGTCAATGAAACAGCATTAATATATCTGTTATTAAGAGGCAAATAACTGTGTATTTTGCTCTTGAAGTTGCTGTGAGAAGTTTTAAATAAGTACCATCTGTACCAAATGGAAACGGAATTATTTCCCCCCAGGAATGGAAATTGAAATATTAAAATTTTCTTAAGCTTTTTTCATTTATTGCCTTATGATACACCTAGATATTAATGTAAGATGTCAGATATTCTAGTTCTAATGTTATACAATAAAAATTTAACAGCGTTTTCAGGACCACATGTTTCCAGTAAGTCCTTCAAAGGTCTAGTCACATAGAATTGGCTTTCGACAATCTTCCCACCCAAAGATGGGAATCAGATATTTCAGGTTTCTCAAAAGACAGGTAAAACCCAACTACACGCTACCTTTCCTCCCGGAGAGCTGGTGTAGGTGGGTGGGTTCTTTTTTATTTTACCTGCGAGGCATAATTACTTACGTGGAGTGAAATAAGGAGCCATCTTTTTCTAAGTAGCCCTCATAGTGGACCAACATCAAATCCCCTCCTTTGGTCTTCCGATGGCAGATGAATGGCTTCTGGAGAACTTCAATTTTCACTTCTGGCTCGGGGATCAGAGCTCCACTCAAAGCCGTGATTAACAACGTCAAGATCGAGTTCCACAAGAGAAACCTCATGTTACTGACGCTAGAAAGAAGTCACTACGAAAAGAGAAAAGGCCCCGACTGCATAGAGTTAAAAACTCAGTTGTAGGCTTAGGGACAACGGCCTCTGGCAAGCTCAGGACTCTCCCTCTTAGGAGACGTGGCACTTTTACTACCAACAACTTTCCCACGCTTTGCAAACTCACATTAAAGAGTTAAACCCAAACCCGACCTTGAATGGTTGTTACAATACAGCCGCGGGGGAAGGGCCGACTCCCATTGGCTGGATGTACTATCGCTCAGCACCTCTCCAGCCAATGACGCCGCAACCATGTAATTTACAGCCTGGTTGAGCCCTGCAGCCCACCCGCTGGGAACCATCTGGAAAGGTCCTAGAGTTTAGGGGATTAAAGAGTTGCACCATCCAGGACTTGGGGAGAAGGGTGCGGCGTGAGGTAACCGGAAGCTCCGCGGGAGTCGTACCCCCAGAGGAACAAGGTTGGGAGAGTCAGGGGGCCAAATGACATCTTAAGGATTTCAGGAAAGATTCTTTTGTTTACTCTCACCTTTGAAGCACGCCCCCGCCCCCGCCCCCCTCGAGTCCATAATCCAAGGCTCCTGGTATTGAGCCGTATTATGAATATACAGTATAAACTGTAAAGATTTACAAAATGCTTTAGAGTTCGCAAAGCGCATTTTGGGAGCATCAACCGCATTACAACAGCAAGACAAGGTCTTTTATCCCACTTAGGAGATAAGTACATTTAGGCTGGGAGCAGTTACATGTTCTGCTTAAGGTACCTAGCCCCAACGCATTTGAGCTCTGCCTTCAAACCAGATCTGACTAATTTCACAACACCGAGTAATGTTATAGCTGCTAACTTACCATGTTAGTGACCTTAATGTAAAAGGTAAATAATAAATAAGGAGTGCATACTTCCACTTTAAAGGGAAATAGTAACCATGCTTACTATTTCATCACATAGTCATTTCATCACATAGTCTCATCTTAGTTTAAATTTTCTATTTCATGTTTCGCCTAGTTTCAAATGCAATAACATGTTCATTTCAGTTGATTTAGAGCAAACCTGGATAGCACCAAAGTAGTATTTCCAGATAAAATAGTAAAGAGCCGAATTAATATTTGAATTTCCGGTAAATAACCTATAATTGTTATGTACTTTTATTTATTAAAGCTGGTAACCTTGCAATAGGGAAAAAGAACTATCCACAAATAAACATTTTAATATTTTGGTGCATGAATCTGCGATATTATACCTGAAGCAATCTGGATCCTATTGTAGACTTTTTCTTAAGTTTCTTCCACTTATCCTGTGATTAAAGTTTTTCCGGATCAAATATCCTTAAAACAGTGCATTTTCACACCCCCAGCCCATAGGAATTCCGCTAGGGATCTTGTTAAAATGCACATTTTGACTTGGAGTTCCGGGATTGGGGGAGATTCTGCATTTCTAACAGGCTTCTGGGTTGTGTCAGTGCCTTCTGTCCCAGGACCACACTTCCAGGAGCGAGGCCTTAAAGTTTGCATAAAACCCTTTTACACTGGATGTAGCATGCTATCCTGAAATTTCCACGTCCTGGGTCAGAGAGACGGGTCACGGCGCCCTCTTGTTGGGTGTCTCGAGTGCGTGGAATCAATTAGACAACCTTGAAATAAAGATAGAGTAAGGGGTCGAGTAGACCCTCAAACTTTGGAAGCTGGGAGCCTACCCCTGAACGGTACCACTTACAGTCAAACTGGGTTCCACCCAGATCTCAGAGGCTTTCACTCGCTCTCTCAACGCCCACTGCCGAGCCAGCACCCCAAGACTCAATTTCCCGGCAGGCGTCTCGAGCTACCGCAGCCCGGCCACCGTCGCCGTCGCCGCGAAACCCCGGAGTGGACTTCGGGAACTTGTGCGCGAGCGGCGCACTGGGCATGCGCGAACGTGCTCTGGGGCCCAGCGGGTCGTGGGCTTAGGTAAAGCTGGGGCGACGAGGGCTGCTGTCCGGCTCGCTCGTCGTACTTAGGAGTCGTCGGCTGCCTCGGATCCCCCGGCACCTGGGCCTCCTGGCGGACGCGGGGTTCCACCCTACCGCGCTGGCCCTCGCCGGCCGCAGTGACCCCGCCCCCGGGCCGAGGATGTGAGCAGGGCCGGGCGTCTGCGCCGGGCCGGGCGCCGGCCGTGGGCGTCCGGGTCGCGCCGGGCGATGGCCTCGCTGTTGGTGCTTCTCGCCTCCCGGGCCCAGGGCCAGTGAGGGGCCGGCGGGCGTGGACGAGAGGCCCGGCGCGGCGCCATGGAGGGGGTGCTGTACAAGTGGACTAACTACCTGAGCGGTGAGTGCCGGCCGGGGCCGCGCCTTTGTCTGCGCCGGCGGCGGCGGGGCTCGGGCTGGTGGTCCTCGGCCGAGGCTTGCGCCGACCCGCAGTGGTATCCAGGGCGTTTCTCTCCCGGGCCCCTGTCGCCCTGCTGCACGGACACAGTCCTCTCTTGGCGCTCGGTGTGAGCTTCAAGGATAACCACCGAAGACTGGGACTTGGGGTGACTGGAAAGGCGTGATGCCTTAGATGTCCCCGGGAGCGAGGGGCCCCAGGCCCTGCTGCGGGGTCTCCCGCGACTCACTCGGATTCGCAGAGGAACCCCGGCTTGGCTGGCGCGTATCCAGGTTGGAAGGTTTAGTGAATGCCTGCGATCACCTGGAATTTTGGGGGGTGAAAAGTCCTTTATCAAAGTTCTAGTCCAGACACTGTGGGTTTGTCGCTTTACAGTCATCTGCGCAAACCAAGATGTCAGTTTTAGCTCAACAGTTCCCAAAATTCCAAAGTATGCATAAGGTTTTTGATTTTTCTCGCTGAGTGTTTCTTTGGTTTTACAGGCTCAGAAATTCCCCTAAAATGAGTGCAGAAGTTGGCACCTGTTTTCTTGCCTTACTGTACAGAGTGGCTTAAAAATACTTCCCTCTTTTCTAATTTCTGGAAGCACGTTCTTCCTGTCTTGAGAAGAGTCTAACAGTTCCTCAGCTGGGAAGATGGTTTAGACAGAAAAAGGGTTTGTTTTGTTTGTGCAACTGGCGTTGAATGACAGCCCACTATATGCGGGAAACCATGCTGGACACTTTTTGAAATTAAGCTTTTTGTTTTGGAATATGAGCTAACCATTTAAAATTTTAATGGCAGTGTACTTGAAACCAAAAGTGTCTCCCGTATCTTCTAGGGTGGCGGAGAAAGATTTTCTAACTCTTTTCTTCCACTGGACAGTTGTTCAAAGGTTCGACTGTGGTGATTCTCCATGTTTTAAAGATGTCTATGACTGGGAAAATAAGTTAGTATAGTAACTTCGAGGAGTTCACAGCGCATGACACAAACAAAAGTGCACCTGTTGGGTTATCAGAATCTCTTCTCTGTGCATAGTGTAGCCAGCAGTGCATTCTGTTTATGTTCCCTGTAATTATTGCTACAGATGAGTAAGACGAGGGCTTTTCTGTATAAGACCTAGCCTCTGTTTCAAGAACTTTCAGTGATGCCAACAATTAGATGATATTAGATGTGGATAATTCAGAGCTAAGCCTCAGTTTAATGAAGGTAAGAGGCTGATTAACCAGAAGCTGAGCTTCAGTTTAGTGAAGGGCAAAAGCCGATTAGTGAAGGCCAGAACCTGATAACCACTTATTAGCACTGATTAGCACTTCTAATGTAAGGGGAGGAAGCTTGACCAGGCCATTTTCCTCTTGAAATCTCCAAACTCTTAGATGCGTGCATTTGATGTCTTTGAATCAAATTTAGCTGCTTGTCTGTCACTCAGACTTTTTAAAATCTTTTTTCCTTTCTTTCTCTCTCAACAATCTTCCATTTTATCTCATCTCTATTCTCATTTTTAAAACATCTTCTTCCTTTTTTCTTTCTCGATATATGCAGTTAGGTCTCCTAGTACAATATTTATTTCTTGGTGGTGAAATGCCCCCCTGTCCTTCTGTGGCCCTCATTAAAGAAAAATTCTCTAAAAGAATCTTTTAGAAACTTTGTCATGTAATCCTCATACCATCTGTTAAGTTGGAAAAGAGGCTACTTTTTCTTCCCCAAGAAAGAGTAGTTACTACTGTGAGTGGTGCCAGGGTGGAAACCCTAACGAAGAGGGACCTTGGAGCCACCGCCAAAGGCAGCCATTTCTATATCCTGCTGCTTGTTCCTTTGACTTATATACCTCCCACTTGTGGGCATACTGTTCATGATCATCACACCTAGTGGCTACTTTTCTGGATATGCTTAGAATTGGGTTCAATACCTTCCTTTCATTCAGAGATAAATTTACTTTAGGAAAAGAATGGTAAAAGCCGTAGGAGGATAGCAAACATTATTATTTCTTCCACCCTCCTTAGAGTTGGCCTCTCAGAAGAACATGTTTGAGTGTTAGTAACAAATTTTGAAGTCCACATCACTATTTTTTCTTTTTCTGAAGCTTACTTTTAGAAGTAACTTTTCCTTGTGGTTTTCTGCGTAGTAACTTTAAAATTCATATAAGCCCAATTCAAGGTTTTGAGTTTTCTGAAGTTTTCTTCAAAAGGAGTTGCTAACTTCTGCCTTGTTTGTGTATTTTTGTCATGTGGAGAGCTTTACATGGAATACGTTGTGTCAACTTTGATTGAAGAAGTTAAATCAGTTTATCACTCGATCCTTTGAGTCCTTGGGGAATGTTAATTTCTTTACCTCTATTTATTCATTTCTTTATTTTTGTTTTGCCAGTGTTAAACCCAGGGCCTTGTGCATTCTAGGCAAACTCTACACCCCCACTTTCATATTATTAATTTCATTTACTATCCATAATGTGCAGGGTACTGTTCTAGGAATAAAAGGGAAGCTTGGTTGAACAAGTCAGACACCTCCAGCCCTTCTTGAGCCTACAGTCTGGTGGATAAGTGATTTAAAGCATGTTCCAAATGGGTGTGATGGGGCAGAGGGAGCAGGGAGGGTATTTTGTGGTGTTGAGAAAAACTCTTCACAGTAAGCAGAGCTGAGGGGCAAATTAAACTAGCTGGGGGTTTGGGGAGGTGAAGTGGGGAGGAGCCCAAGGCAATTGCAGGCTATAAGGAAGAACTTTTCTGGCATAGGACATGCCAGTGTGAAGGCCCCAAAGCAGGACTGAGAAATACCCTTGAGTTTGAGGAAAAGAAAGAGTATCCATTTGGCTGGAGAACTGAGGAGAGTGTAGAGACACGAAGATGCAGGGATATGTGAGAAGCCTAATATTACAGGGCCTCACAGACGGATTTAAACACTGTGGTGTGTTTGTGTGGGTGTGCATGAGAAAATGGTGAGATTTTAAAAAGCTTGAACTGTAGAAAGTTTTCTGGTGGCATCCTCCTGCTGCATTTATTGTGTTTTGCCAAGTACTGTAGTTAATTTTGTGAGCTTCTTGAATTAAAGTATCAATTACAGTAAGTTAGAAACATCCAGCCCTGAGAATAGCATCTAAATTGCTTCAAGAATGTACTCCTAGAGTGCAGAAACAGAAGTCTCTTTTCACTCAATTGCTAGGTATACTTGTACCCTGTGTGCCTTCAGTGAAAAAATAGAGGAAGAGAAAAAGCTTCTGAGCCATCTCGCTCTTGAAGGACAGAACATTGTACCCTCTGGGATTTAGTGTTGATATCTCTTAGATGTTAGAAGATTAAAGTGAGGCTGAAAATGGAATGGATTAAACACTTTAAAATGCCTGTATTGTGTTACTAATGCAATGTGCCACTGCTAGGCACTGTATGTTACTGTATCTTTCAAGACCTAAAATTCAATCAAGAAATTTTTTTTTTACGTTTTTTAAAACAATGAAAAAGAAACAAAAATAATGATACAGGGTTTCAAAGCAGGACAGTAAGAAATTAACAATGGTTATTGCATATTGTTGTCTTCAAAGTAGTTACTCAGATTATAAGATGTAGGCATGCAAAATTAATCAACCAATAAAAGCACAAACTGATCTTTTCAATGAACTAAAAGAAATTAGTAGTATAATTATGTTAGCTATTGGCAGTGACAGAGCTGTATTCCACTTCAGTCTGATTCCTGAGCCAGTGTTCTACAGCAATTTTTTTAAAAAATTCCTTGTGTATAATTTGTGTGTAAAAATTCCTTGTGTTTTTTAAGAAGTTTTATACATTAGTGCTGTAGAACACCAGCTCTGGAATCAGACTGAAGTGGAATACCAGCTCTGTCACTGCCACCTTTAGTCACTTTACCATTCTGAATTTAACGTCTTCCTCCATAAAAATAATGGGATTTACCAGTTCATAAAAGTTGTAAAAAAATTTAGGAGCACTTACATTGTGTCATTATTCTAAACATGGATTAATTCATTTAATCTGTGTAGCAATTTTGAGAAGCAGTTGCTTTGACTTTGCCCTTTTTTCAGATGAAAACATTGAGTCAAAGAGCAATGGAATGTGCCCGAGATCACGGTTATAAATTGCTCCAGAGGCAATACTCTATTATGTCATACTTTTAAAGGTCCTTTCTACGTGAGCATTATATAATTGTAGCTGATTCATAATGTACTTATGTATTAAATGTATTTGATCCAAAATATGAGAAATGTATTTGGAGGTAAGAGGTGGGAAGGAGTTCAGGAATGAAGAATGTGCTTGTGTTTTGCCATAGATTTTTTTTTTTTGAGCCCTGCCATCCATTTTGTAGTGTAAGGTCCTTTTACTGCCCTTTCAGCAGGTAGAAGGGTTACCACGCGGGCTGTTGCCGGTTGCAGGCATTTTGGGGCTGTAGAGCAAGTTAGCAAGCATTGTTGCAGCACTGTCTTCCAAAAATAACAAAAGCTTGCCCTGTGCTGGCCAGCTGGTTGTCACTGGGAAGTTGCTATAATTTTGCTTCCCTGCAGGTGGAAGGTGAATCTTGCCCCACATATTTCTGCTGTGTGCCAGGAAGACATCTAGAATATGAGTGATCCAGAGCAGGATTTGTAGTCTTACAACCATTAGTCAGTGTTTTTTGTTGTTTTCATTTTGACATCTTCTTGAGATTATTCGGTACCTAAAAATCATCCATTTAAAATGTACAGATCAGTGGTTTCATGTATGTTCAGAGTCCAAGCATTGCCACAGTCAATTTTAGATCATTTCATTGTGCTAAAAAGCAACCCTATTAGTAGCCACTTTCATATTTGTCCCTTAATTTTGGCAACCACTGTCTGCATAGATTTGCTTATTCTAGACATTTCATATAAAGAGAGTCGTAAAGTATGTGGTCTTTTGTCACTTGTTTCTTTTCCTTAGCACTGTTTTTTTTAAAAATTCACTTATGTTGTATCATGGATCCATACTTAATTCCTTATTTAT